TGTGCGGGATTGTGGTTGCTGGGTAGGTGGGGGGTGGGTAGGTGGGGGGTGGGTAGGTGGGGGGTGGGTAGGTGGGGGGTGGGTAGGTGGGGGGTGGGTAGGTGGGGGGTGGGTAGGTGGGGGGTGGGTAGGTGGGGGGTGAGGTAGGTAGGTGGGAGAAAGACATTCATCATCTCACCGACCTTGTAGGTTACATACGTTTAGTACGTGGTGGTGCAGGTGATGCTGCGACATGTGGGGGTATTTCAGGTTGTGGAATAATAATCGCACCTCTAGCACCACCTGCAGTTCTCATCGTCATCCTCACATTCTGTAAATCTTTGCATTCAAACTATGGCGCGCGGCAGGCGTGATGGTGGGTGCATCCTCCCGCCACTACAACCCCACCGCCGAGGACGATGGCGGCGCCAGTGCCGGCGGCGGCGGCGGCAACAGCGTTGGCCGAGTCAGCAGCGGCGGCGGAGCCGGCGCCGCCGCCGCCACGGCAGCCTCTGGCGGCGGCGGCGGCGGTGGCGGAGCCTATTCGTACACCTCCCTTGGAGTCGCAAAGTTTGTGTTCTTCAACGAGACGTTGCGGCTAATTGGCGTACCGCTTCCCCCCACTGCCTTGCTGGTCTTTGAGATGTACGTGGCCAAGCAGGTGCGAGGGAGGGGGAAGGGAGGGGGGAGAGAGGGAGGGAGGAAGGGAGGGAGGGTGAAGGGAGGGAGGGAGAATGAATGAGGGAGGGGACCGCTACCTACACTTTTTCTTCCCCCCCTCACCCCCAATGGGTTGGCGGGGGTTTCTGTACGGGTGTGTACGTGGCTGGGCGCTGAAGGACGGCTGGGTGCTGTACACGTCCGCTTCAAATAGCTCACCTCCGTTTCCCCGCACCTCCGTTCTGAATCTCCTCGTTCATTCCCGCCCTCTCCATTGTTCCAACGAACCACACCCTCACTCGTATCCCCGTTCCAAGGTGGTGGCGGGCATGCCCAGTCGTGAGGACCTCGTGGCATGGGCTTTTTGCCCTCTGGTGACGTCGGTTGGGGGCCTGGTGGCGGGCAAGCAATCGCTGCCGCTGTTCCGACAGCCGCTTATGATTTCGGCGCAACGGAAGTACAGCTACGAGGACGCCATGATGGACTTTGAAATCACCAGAAGGTGTGTTTGTGTGTCTGTGTGTGTGTCTGTGTGTCTGTGTGTGTATACGTGTGTATGTGCATGCCCTCGCGTTTGATCTGTTGCGTTCGTGAGATTACGTGCACGACGGTCCCGAGGCACGAGCTGAGGCCTTGATGGGACATGATGCTTTGAGGGGGTGCGGCCCGTTGACGTTTTGCTTTTGGTTGCGTGCTGCGTGCTGCGTGCGCGTTCGGAGGGGGACGCACATATGCGGGGCGCGCAGTCCCGGCAATCGACAATCTCCTCACCCCGCCTGGTGCTCTCTGGTCCCCTCCCCCCCTCCCACCTCCTGATACTGTTCCTTTCTACTTGCGCGGTGAAGTGTGAGACCCCTGTGTGATGTGCCATGATGTTCCGGTTATTTTAGTGGTTAAGATGTCTTTCGATATGTGGTTTTATTGTGGCATAATCCAGATAGAAGATATACCCTTGGCAACGCCATGCGGCCCCAGATTTCCTCCCCGCCCCCGCAATGCCGTACCATTAACACACACACACACACACACACCTTGCCGACCTGCAGGGACGGTAACCCAGGTGACGTCGCCGCCGCCACCATCGCGGACACAGCCGCAGCCGCCGCAGCCGGCGGCGGCGGCGGCGGCGCTGCCGCCGCCGCCGGGGCCGCCGGCGCTGGCAAAGGCCGCGTCAGCAACAGCGGCGCCATCTCCCATCTAGAAGATGTTCCCGGCGTTTCCGTTGATGCCTGGATGCGTGTAACACGTGAGGTAATGCCCTCAGACTCCTACACGCCGGGGGATGGCTTCGTTGTTTGTCTGGACGGGGCACGGTTCCTACCCGCGAACGTGACCTTATCGCGCGTGACGGTGAGTTAACGGTTGACGGTTAGCATTTGTTTTGAAGAATAGTATGTTTTTGTTGGTGATACGACAGTAGTTTGTCGTACAGGTGTCCATCTGGAACAACAATCGACGGCCGCTGGGCTCGGGGGGGTTCTACGGCATCTCCTGGCCTGACTCGGACGCCATGAACCCCAGGTATGGTCGTACACATGCACGACAGTACGGGACGCGCGTTGTGTTGCACGCAATATGAGCTCCATTGTTCTGCAGGGGAGTCTCCGTCCGCCTACATACCCCTGCACACACATACACATACACATATACACACGCACATACGCACATATACATACATACACACATACGTACGCACACAAATGTGTGGCAGTACGGCAATACACACACGCCCCACTCCCGCCCGTCTTTCCGTTGGGGCTAGGCAGCAGCCCCTGGCCAGTGTCAGGCCCGGTCAGATACTTGCAACCTTCACACATACACACATACACCCCTATACACAGACAGACAGACAGACATAATGCATACATAATACATACATACACCGACGCAGGTACAACAAGTACGCCACTTTGGGAACGGGCAGTGACAAGTTCGACGACAGTACCGCGACTCTGCTGTTCAAGGTGGTATAGATGTCGCCGGAGTTGTGGGGGTTGTGTTTTTCTGTGTGTGTGTGTGTGTGTGTGTGTGTGTGTGTATGTGTGTGTGTGTGTATGTGTGTGTGGCGGGGTTGGGGTGGGGGTTGCATGTGCGTGTTCCCACCCTCCCCAGGTTGTCATTGGTGCCTTTTTAGGCACCAGGGGGGTTTAATTATAATATAGATATAATAATAATAATAATAATAATAATAATAATAATAATTTGAATTTAAATGTTTGCCTCAGTCGCCTCAGTCGTGAAAGCGCGCGCTCCTATTCAATGTGTCGCACTCGTCTTCACCTCCACTGAGCTGCCGTACACCTTTCCATCTGTTCATGTACGGCAGGTGACAACCCTGGATCGCTGGAGTCGTACGCCGTGTGTGGTGGGCTGGGCGCTGCTCAACCTGTTCATCGACATCAAGACGCAACAGCAACCGCTTAGTTCGTACGTTCTTGATTACGCGCTTAATCAGGCAAGGGCGTGGTCGGGGGCACGGCAGCTACCCGGATAGGTAGTGCTGTGCGGAGCTCAAATTGGTTGGTGATCTGTGTAGCTGAGTGCGGAAATTTGAGATGAGGGTGATGTTGTTGGAAAGGACATCGTATGTGCCAAGCGGCACCTCCGTATCTGTGTGCATGTGTATGTATGCGCATGTATGTGCATGTGTGTATTGTAGTGTCATCCCACCTTTTTTCCCCTTCACCATCAGGTCCCCCGGGGGGCTCACCCCGGCATCTCCGGCCCCTGCTATCCCGTTCCAACACCCCCTCCCTTCTCCCCCTACCTACCTACCTACCTACCTACCTACCTACCTACCTACCTACCTACCTACCTACCTACCTACCTACCTACCTACCTACCTACCTACCTACGTCTCTCTCTCTCTCATTGACCCAACCGACCCATCTCCCCTTACTCCGAAACCCGCTTCCCTGAACCCCAACATACACACACGCACACATCTCTCCCCCCCCTGAACACCCCCCCCGCCCCGCGCACCGGGGGCCGTCCCCCCAGGGCGCCTTTCAGATCCCTCTTCATGTACGACCGCCCTCGGAGAGCAAGCTAGCAGCCAGCAGCTTGCGCGGGGTCCCCAGAGTGCCGTGTGCTTCACTGCTGCTAAGAATCTTGTCACCCGAGCTTCATAAGCTGCAAAGGTGTGTGTAAGTGTGTGTTTGTGTATGTTTGTGTATGTTTGTGTCTGTCTGTGTGTGTGTATATCTGTTACGTATCGATCCGGGCCTGATGCTGGCCAGGGACACCTAACCGGGCACCCCAAGGGGAACGACCGCCGAAGTACTTGGGGGAGTGCTATATCGGTCAGAGTCCTGACCGTTCTCCCTTATCAACGCAATGCGCCGTCACCTGCTCGAATCCTCTAGCCAGCTACACACACACCAGCTCAGGTGCCAGGCAACCCCTCCGTTCCACCGAACGCATGCTCTACAGCCGCGCGATCTATCAATGCACTCACACTTGTGCCCATCGTGCCACGCTATCCTGGTGCCGCCGCCTGGTTTCGTTATCCAACCACCACCATCTGGTAAACAGCTTCTGGTCCTGGTCCTGTGCAGAATATTTATTTCTCCGTCGCTGCTCAGCGGCTAAGTGTGTAGACCTTCATGGTGGGATCCCACTCAGGCCGCCAAGAAGAAGGCCGCACTGAAGGAACCCACCAATGTCTCACCTCCGCATTCTACACCTCGACCTATTTCACCCCGGGGAGGGGAGGGGCGGGGGAAAGGACCAGCGGTGGGATCCATACCCACATTTACCGGTAAATCCGGATGCCGTCTCTCTTCTGGAATTCGATCACTTGATTTGCCGATTATTTAAACCGGTGCTCCACCAACTTGAGCTATGTCGGTGTTATTGTGTGCTCTCCGTACTTATGTATGCATGCATGCATGCATGTATGTATGTATGTATGTATGTATGTATGTATGTATGTATGTATGTATGTATGTATGTATGTATGTATGTATGTATGTATGTATGTATGTATGTATGTATGTATGTATGTATGACTTAGATTACACTGTGGGCCGCGAGAGCCGGGGGCCGAAACCGAAACACAGCGCAAGGGTCGGGAGCACACAGCACAAGTCGGTTAGTCTTGTGTGCTCCCGACCCCGACTCAGACTGCCAACACTCTACGCAGCCACTCCGCAGCCCCTCCATCCAGGGATGGCGCTGCATTGAATACACCACGAAGGGCTCTCAGGTCCCGCTAGAGCGAGTCCACAAGTCTCAGCTAGGGCAAAGTCAAAGGCTCTCTGAAACAACCCCCCAAAACACCACCAACGAAAACGGGATTCGAAGGGAAAACAAACAAACAAACAAAAATTCGGTTAGGGCAGTCCCGGCAGGGGAGGGCTCCTGATATACCTAACAGGCCAACAAAAATAAAACCTCCAAGAGAGAACGGCTAAGAGAGCTCGACACCACAAGACGTCTTGCAACCACCTTAAGATAACTGACTTCCACCACCTGTCCCTTCCTGGGCTGGTCCAGGGGAGAAGTAGCCTTATAAAGAAAAGGGATCCCGCACAAGTCTGATCACCACTGCAGGGGCCCGGGATAGTCCGGCGAAACCACAAAAGCGTTAGCGGTGCCACGACACACAGCTCCTAGACCCTCCAGATAACCGCAGGGGGAGGATTGTAGCCCGCGCGGCGCCTCCCCCTTACCGCCACTAACCTGAACGGTTGGTCCTCCGGAAACCTATTCACCCTGTCTCGTACTGCACCGCTCTCACCCTCGTCCCTCACCAAGCAACCCAGTCCCACAGAGAAGACGTGTCTAAATAGAATGGCCCTCCTCGGGCCACATCTCCCCCTCATCCGAGCCCCGCTACCACCACCAGACCTCAACCTCCCAAACACCAGAGAACCTACGTCCTTTTGGCGCTCTCACCGCCATCTCCCCCCTCCCCTGTCCGAGCGACCCCACCTCCCCCCGGCTCTCCAGCACCCTACAACCTCGGAGCGGCACTAGGGAAGAAAAAGGGTTCTTCCCTGCACGACGTGACCGCCTCCATTCCCCGTCCTTCTCCTCTCCCTCTCCCGTCTCGGGGTTCCCTCTCATCTATTCCCTTGTCCTCCAACCCCCATCCCCTTCGAACTCCTATACCCCCCCGAGCCCTGCCCTACAAACTAAGCTCAAAGCGCACTTAGGCAATAATTTCCACCGCTTCGGCGCACCGCAGTGCGCCTTCTGAAACCGACAGGATCGGGTGGTCGGGTCCCACCCTGTCCCAGCCTCTTCGCGGGGTGCCCAGCGCCGTGAAGGAGCGCAGGCGCGCCCAGAAGTATATATGTATGTATGTATGCATGTATGTATGAATGTATGTTAGCAAGATTGCTTGTTCTTCGGGGCGCCATGCGCGCCAGGAGGTGGCGACGTGCGGATTGTCATGCCTGTTGTTTCCATGCAGCAGGCATGCGTATGTGCGCATGCCACATCCCCACATGCCTCTCCCCCCCCCTGCGACCCCGGGGAATGGTTCCCTCAGGCGGAAGAAACTACCTGAGTTTTCAGACCGAGTGTACGACAGCACGCGCGACCTGCCCAACCCCCTGGAGCGCCGACTGTACAACAAGTACTTGCGCCGCCGCAGGTTCCTTGTACGGGAGGCGGCTCGGCTTTTAGTCAATGGGTACGCGAATGAGAGAGAGAGGGAGAGCGGCGGATTCGTTAGTAGTTGGTTCGTTATCGGTTGGAGTCAGTTAGCTCCGTGTAACGACCTACCCTCACTTCTTTGTATTATCGTAAAATATACAAATTTTATTATTATGATGATTATTAATGTAAGAATACTATTTTCCAAGTGTTTTCGGTGCCTTTTAAGGACAGTAATGTGTTAAGGTCGCTGCAATTGCTGAAGCAAGCATATTATTATGGCCATATGCCACACTCAAGCTCGTGGGGTTCATGCAACGACTGAAAACGCGCTGTGCGTGTTTTTTGGGGTATTTATGTGCTTCTCCCTGTTTTTCCCTCCCCCCCGGGGCCCCCCCCTGACCTACCGGGTCATGGCCCCCTGCAGTCGTGCGATGGGTCGTGCGATGGGGCATATGGACAAACCCGGCGGTGGCGGAGGCGGCGGTACGGCAGACGGCGGAGATCTGATCGCAATGGCGGGCTCCGACGGTACGGGCAAAATTTAATTCGGGGGCCGGAAACGTGCGCCTAAGACAGGTGTTGCACATATATGTATGTATATATTATGTGTATACTTATATACATACATACATGCATACATTACATCTATCATCTATATATGTGATTGGTACTGCTTGGTCGTACTTCCTGGTTGAAGGAGGATGGAGGGCTTCCCGCCGCCTTCCTGGCTTTCCGATTTTCCATTCACTCGGGATGTCAAGGTCCGTTGGATTGAACTTACATTCTGTACGATCTCCCCTGCCGTACAGCCGTCCTGCCTAACAGTGATGTTGAGCTGATGGATTGGATGGACCGTCAGCTGGCGCCAACCGGGGCGCCGTGTGAGTGCGTGTGTGTGTGGGAGGGGAAGGGGGGAGAGAGGTTGGGATGGGGTGGGGTGGGGTGGGGTGGGGTGCGGGTTTTTTTTGGGGGGGTTCAAACACCACTTAGCGGTTCCACTTAGAGGTTTCTGGCTTTTGTCGTTTTCATTCTTTGGATTACATTCACAATAATAAATTAAAGAAGGGAAGTAGGAGGAGGAGTAGGGAGTGAAAGACAGAGACAAGTGTTGCGAGCATTGCTTCATCTGCCCCCCATGAAGGAAACCCTGAAACCCCTCACTCACCCCCTCACCCCCTCACACCCCGGTCAACACCTCTCCCACAGCCCCCTCGCCATCCGATCGCCAGCTGCCGTACAACTTGGCCTCCGAGTACTACCCTGATCTGGGTTTTTACGTGTCGGTGGACGGCGCGTTGCGGCTCCCGAGGAACCTCCCATCAGCCGCCCTCACCACCTTCGCGCCGCCGGGCAGCTTCTACCAGGCAAGATACAACACCAAACAAATGGTACTCACAGCAAAATACTCACCGTAATATAAAACAGAAGCAACGCAATACAAACCGCAAAATGCACTGTTACACAATAGTTGTACCATGGGGTTCGTTACCGTTAGGGGACCTGAAAAAAGTGTTGAACGGCGGGCGCAGTCACGGTCTCGACATTTCCAGTATACTTACTTCAGGATGGGGCCGGGATTGCGGCTGTGGGTTACATGGAATTGAATCTCGGCATGTACGGCACGTACGGCATGTACGGGGTATACTAATTCCCAGAGTAAAAAAAGACAGTGTGCTGCTGCTCCGACCCTTTTGGGGGTGAAGGTTTCATGATTCGGCCAAAACCCTAAAACCCTCGCTAATCCCTCGCTAATCCCTCGCTAATCCCTCGCTAATCCCTCACTACTCAAACCGCCGTGCAGGACAGCCCCCTGGTTGACGATGTGCGTGTGACATTGGATTACGATATGACCGCCCCCCTGGCTAACCCAGTGTGGACTGACGGATTCGTACACTTCAGCGGAGTGGTGTACGAGCAGGGGATGTGCATCATCGTAGACGTGCGGTGCGTTGGGAATTGCTTGTCCATGTAGCGGTAGAGCGGATACAAAGCAATCTGCATCTCCCCAAAATGTGTGTTACATAGTGTAACACACATTGTTACACAGTGGTACACATTGTTACACAGTGGTACACATTGTTACACAGTATAACACACATTGCAGTGTAACACACATTTTGGGGAGATGTAGAGCAAAGAGAACAGGCAAGTCCCTGCCATAAAACACACACACACACAACACGATGTCGGACTCGTTCTTCATCGGTCGCTCCAGAACCACCACTGAGATAGGGTTTACCTCGCACGCTGTGATCAACGCCCAAGTTCTGCACAAAAATAACTGTCAGCACTTTCCCCCTCGGCGCGCGACATAGGTGCTCGGCTGTGTGTGTGTGTGTGTGCTCGGGCAGTTGCGGGTGTGCATGTGTGTAGCACCGTGTTGTGTGACGTCCTTTTGCAGAAAAAAAGAACCGATCGGCAGATGACAGATCCCGTGATACCCAGGATACTACACACTGCATGTATGTATGATGTTGTTACAGGGTGGTATAGCTTCACCAGCGGCCCCCTTATGTATGTATGTATCTAATAGATACATAGGGTCGAACCCTGGTATCTATGCATGTATGTATGTGTGTGGTGTGGAAAGGACTTTACAGAAAGGGGGGAAAGTCATCAGCTTTCGGAGGGGGAAAACCCCTCTGAGAGAGGGGCTGGGGAGAAGTCATCAGGTTTCGTGGAGGCGCGTGGTAAGCCGGCCACCTGGAGGAGAGCCGTGAACCTTTAAATATAAATAGTTGGGAGGGGGGGAGCCTTCGCAGTACCTCCTGGGCCGGGAATATACGATTTGGCAAAGGAGGCGGGTAACTGCGGGTGACTCGCGTCCCCGAGGGTTTTTCCAAAGGTAGGCTCGGGTCGAACCCCTAACCGGACTCCCTGCTCTGCCCTGCCCTGCCCTGCCCTGTCGTGTCGTGTCATGTCCTGGGGGCCCCACGTCTCGCAGATTGATTGTACCTGCCACCGGCACCAGTGCGCCCGCGGGTTGGTCTGCCGTACGGCTGTTCGAACGGGAGGGCGAGTTCGTGGCTTCGGGACATTACCACCTGCCTCTATTCGCCGGAGTGCCTTCGAGGTACCTAATGCAGGTGCTGCGGGTGACGGGGGTTGGGGGGTGAAGGGGGTTGGAGGGTGAAGGGATCCTCAGGGTCGACGGGGGTTGGG